TCTAACGCTTTGCGTTGAATTTCCCTTTTCATTCATTCCAAGTATAACGTGATCTAGATAAGATGGAGAAGATTTGTAGCCCAGGTGGATGATTTTGATTTGGTTGTGTTGTCTGAGCTGGATAGTTAATTTGCGTGTCCAAATCCCATACAAACATTGGACACGCAAATTAACTATCCAGCTCAGAGAACACAACCATATCAAAATAATGTGATCCGCATTGTAACGACGAGGCAGTTTGAAATAGATTACACTTTTAAAGATTCAATTGTTTTTATCAAGTAGCGTTAGGTTTCTTTTGTCATATTATTACCAAAGCATTCAGCATTCACTGTTGACAGCAGACCAATAAATGAATAGAAAGATCAACAGTTTGTGTGGGAGATCAGGCACGAATGCCTATAAACGAGCATTAGTCAAAACTCTGCTCTATAGAGTTAAGAGAATATGCTCTACAGAGAAATTAGAAGAGGAATTCATATTTCTCGGAAAGATGTTGAAAAACAGCTGTCACCCTTTAGAGGTTCATTGACAAGTGACGAAGACGTGCAAAAAGTCACAATGGAAAACAAACCTGTCTTCTTCCAACTTGATTTCAAAGGGGACACTACTGCAATAATAGCCAACAGAAGATTGAATACCTCACTAACCAGAATCTATCCTGCAGGTAAGTTGGTTTCCGTTTATCGGAAAACATGCTCTTTGATGTAATCAAAGGTTGACAGACAGCCTTCTCATGTTAACTCTAACTGTGTATACATATTTACATATAACTGAGGCAGCAGTCACGTTAGAATAACAGAAAGAAGGGCGTACCTCCGATTTTTTGAACATGTACCAAAAAGTCTACTTCTCGAGGGCACAAACGCTTTCTATAATACCACTGTTAGGCATTTCCTTGATGCGGTTCATGGGTTAAAATCGCAACGAAAAAGCTCAATTCTACTCAAATCTGCCGAAAGTAATTTCTGTCGAACGTGTGAAACCTTATTTATGTGTTCAGAAAGAAGTAGTGGTCAGTCTTCCTTTGCCCTGGTAACTGCATTCATTTTCCGATGTAAAAGAAAGTTAAATGAAGCCGTTGGTTCCTATGACCCTTGCAAAATTGATGATACTGATATAGAAACCAAGTCTGAAGTTAAGTATATTGGATTAATTCTTTCTTCTGACCTATCCTGGTCTTCCCATGTCTTAGCCATTTCTAAAAGAATATTTCGTCTGACTTTTTACATTAAGAAGTTGAGGCACTCAGGCATAATCCAACCACTCCTCTTACAGTTTGTCAACTCGTGTATTTTACCTATTCTTCTTTACTCTTAACCCTTATTCTTCCCTGGATTGCTTAAAAAGGACTATGTCATACTTCGTAGAACTTTGAAGACTGTCACTCAGTAGGACGAGTGGTATCCCATTGGGCCATATCGTTGACATTGTCACTGATAGACACTCGATGTTATGCAACAGATTCGCTAGAGGAATTTTGTCACACAGTGAGCACCCACTCTACCCGCAGCTCAAACCTTGTGTCTCCTCAGGTAAAACAAATAGTCTTTTCAGAAGACTTTATGCAAGTACGTCTAAGTATAAAAATTCCATTATACCATATTTGGCACGTACTTTAGGTGATGAAAATAGTGTTAAGCATGCACTAACTAACCTTCTTTGCACTACTAGATAAACCATTTCCTCCACCTTCACAACATCAACCTTTATTGTTATTGTACTTCTTATATTTATAATCCTTTCAATTTTTTGTTTTGTTTTGTTTATTTTTTTTTCATAAGCGTGAACATAATTTAGGCTGTGTTATAATTGTTAATTTTGTGTTTCCCTTCACTCTACTATATCAACACAACATTAGATCCAATAATCTATGACATACTGAAGTTTACAAACTGAATCGATGATACTGTCTGAAACAAACTCACTGTTATTATTATTATATTTAATATTCTCAATTCGTGCTTCGAATATTTTTGACTTTATATCGTAAATGTGGACAAATTCCTCTGGTTAATTTTGTTTTAATTTTTAATTTTATTTATATTTTAAGTAAATCAGATGGAATATTGTGACAAATGCTGAGAATTCCATCCTGTAGTATAAGTACTGTTTGTGGAATAAAGTAGATTGGTATTATCATCATTCCTTTGTTCTCTCTAGATATGATAGAGAAGATTTGTAGCTCAGGTGGATAATTTTGATGTGAATGTGTTCTCTGAGCTGGATAGTTAATTTGCGCAAATTAACTATATATGTATCATGAATAAATACTGCAATAGGGAATGTTAAAATCGGTTACTGGTATTTTATTTTTCTCTAAAAATCAGTTATATAACGAAGTTTCCAGTCTACACGAAGCTAGTGAATTCGTTTGATCTTCTTTCATAGATGAATAAGGAACAAGCTTCTGGCTTTCAGTATGTCAATATCAGGTGTTCAGAAAGGATAAGCAACAAAGAACTATGGCGACGAGTGAATGGAGAACCCGTCATACGACAAGTATTCAGAAGCAGATCGAGATGGATTAAACACACAAGCACACACACAGAGGAGATCGTTGGATGATATTACGTGACAGGCAATCCCTCCAGTAGAGGCAGAATTCGAAACGAATAGCTGAGAGTGTGATTGAGAGTGGTATAAAGGGGAGATCATGTCAAGTGGAGATGAAAGCTTACGGTGAATCGTGAAACCAGCTAAAAATTTCTCTAGAGAACAGAGTGAAATGGAGATGTGCTGTGCATCATTCTCAAGTAATGGTTTTTTGTAGAGATTTTGTTTGATTGTTTGGGGGGATTTTCATCACTAGCGACTGGCCCTATTCAAGCAGTCAACCTGGGGTTCTAGTGGGAAGCCGTAATCAGTAAGGTACAGCAGGCTGAAGGTGAGGCAGTAACTCATCGAAGAAGACATTGCGAAGTGGTTGCGAGATGTCATGAATTGGCAGAAGTTAGAATTCACAAACTGGCCATCCCAGTTGCTTAATGGTCTACGAGCTCGCTAACCTTGTAACCAGAAGGTCCTGGGTTCGAACCCTGGAGGTGGGGTGCGTGCGTTGTGCTGAAAAGTCCCAAACTGGGCTGACGAAACAGTTGTCCAGTACTCTAGTGCTGGTTTTCCATCGGTCCTCTAACTGATGTCAGCCCATGATGAAAACCCTCCAACCAATTCCTATGTCTAGACTTGATGATAAATAAGTGGAGCGTAACTGGAACCTGGGACTCATCGACTGAAAACTGAGTGCTTCAGCCAATAAACCACATCTCCACAAAACATGATTCACTTTATTAACAATTAATACTAATACTTTATGGGCATATTAAATTTCGATAGTGACAAGAGTCAAAGTGTAAACATGGTAATATTCACTTTTGTGACATGAATTATATTAACCAGGAGTGTGTTAAGAGATAAAAAGTAATAATAGTAATATTTTACATTGATATGTCTTTTTGATGTGCATTTTGCCTAATTACCTCTGCTCGCTTATGATATGACTGGAGAAAAGTTGGACTGTCTAAAAAGCTGAATTAGATGAAAAAATTTGGGAAAAGAAACCTTCAAGCCAATCTTTTCCTAGATTGCCCAGTAAAATCCCAACATAGTAACTAGTTAGTTGAATTAAGTCCCAAAAAAACTAAAACGAGGTGTTTTTAAAAAAAAAGGGTAGAAATCATCCATTTTTTCATAAGTTCCTCTTACTTCTACTGTTTTCCCAACCAAACTTTTATGTTTGGAAAATATACAGGGTACTTAATGCCTACAAGCCGTTAGGCATTAATGTCATTTCAAAAGAGAACTGACTTTTTGTTCTGAAGTAAAGTTTAAATTAGTTTTCTACACAACTTGTAAATTTCAGACAAAATATCTGAACAGAATATTTTTAAGTAATCCGTACATATACCTCGGAGTTTTTGAAGAAAAGTTCTGTGTTGAGGCCACTTTCGGTCGCTACAACAATGTGAAACAAACAGTAACGTAAAAAAACCAAATATACTACTAATAGCCAGGATGTTCCGGTTAGAAAACTATCGGTTTCCTGCATAGTCATTAATTATGCTGGATTTTGAATGGTATGTTATAAAGCTTAAGTTCTCAAATGACCTACCGTTAACTTTATTCTATGAGGACCTAGTTAAAATTTTAACCTTACAGCAATATAGAGTCGTCGTTTTTCATATCTGAAATATAAATAACAGCTTCAGCTTTATATTAGATTGAAAATCCCCATTGAGTCATATGAGTCATATTAATCTAAGTCTTATTGAATAAGCGTAATCATTGTTATCGAGCAATCCTAGTCACAATAATTCTCCTAATCTGAAAATATAACCGTTCTTCGATGGCTCTTTTATCGGTAAGACCACAGAAGAGACACTTGGTTTGGCGACTTATCTTTCAAATTTTCAGTAAAAACACTTTCGTCTTGAACTGGTACCATATGAAACTACTACGATCCCAGCTTTAGCAGTATGTTATACAATTCCTTCAAAAACAAATTCAGGTTATCTAGTAACACAGACTGGAAATTCTCTCAAAAGACAGATGTATGTGTATTAGTTAAAAATTGGATGCATAACTGAACCTAAATCATCGGTCTACCATTAATCATGCAAACTAATTCTCTTATACACGCATTATTTATCCTTGAGATGTATAGACTGGTATCCAGTTGAGAACAACATCTATTAGCAAGATATAAAGAGTAGTTGAATGGAAAGGAGTACCTGGGTTTTGACAGATGTTAAATGTATGTCGTTTACATTTATCAGTCTTACCTCTTTCATCATCTACCAAAGTTATTACAGATATATGGCTGAATTTAACGAACGAAACTCCAGAAACTTGGAATCGCTAATCAGAACCAGTGTATGAGATCTTAGAAAACGTCCCTCGCATATTAACTTTAATTAGTGACTGTAGTTATGAGGATACTGGATAGTGTAACATTCATTGTAGGAATGTATATTATTAATGTCATTTTTTAAAAATAAATATTATTTCTCAAGTAATACTTTATACACAGCAACAAAATGATTGAAACCAGACCGGATATTTAATCGTACATGACGTAGGTGGGGGTCATTTATGGGTAGCTCTGTGATTTGTAAATGTCCATCTGAATAAGGCAAAGACAATTCGGATTTTAATTCAAAGTTTTCTGCTTCTGTATGCGAACTAGTTTCAATCTACAGTTCAAAGAAATTTGAAAAAAAAACGAACGTTTACATGTGGGTTGGTAAAATTTAGGTAAACTGACTGTAGAATCACAAAATTCCACAAAAAATAACAACATAAATTTACAGTTTTCAAGCATTAATTTGTACGGATTGGATTACGCATTCATATCAGTTAGAGAACCACTGAAAACGAGGAAGCACTGGAGAGCTATTTAGTCCTAGTTTGAAACTCTTTGGCACTATACTCATCAATCACTAGAGGTCGAACCTAGAACCTTCAAGAAAGAAGGTGCGCCCGCTAGCCATTCAGCCAAGGGGATTAAATCCAGTGGCCCGAGAATTTTAACTTTTGTCAGTTTGCGATTTCTAATTGATGCAAGAGTAAACAATAGACACCAAAGTCAAATGACCTTGAATAGACCAGTCAGACAGCTCAGAACTACAAATGGTTACTAGTTATAAACCTCGTTGAAAATGTCTCCTTGATCTGGTTTTTGACTTCTCTGTGGAAAATGTGTTGATAGGGTGGAATAAAACGTGCACACGTGGAGGGATAATGACTCTGAAATAGTATTGCCGGGCTATTGATGGTTATACTTTCCCATGCAACCACTTTATGTGAGGAAGTCTGTATAAATTGGTAAGTCGAACATAATTGGTGATTTTTTTAGGCACTTTCTTCTCGAAATCAAAGTACTCACTTAGTAATAAATTGCGTATATGAAACCAGTATCTGCTACAGTTGGAGAAATAGAGGATACATTCATTTGATATTTCAATAACCAATTCTATGAGAATCTGAGACCAGTTTTTGCAGCATATTAGAGATATATACCCAATATGATTCATTTTTATTACATATATATCGTAGATAGATTTCTTTGTAAATTAAGTACCACTTTCCACCTAGAAGAACCTGATTGGCTGTTTCAAGGTTGTCTCAAGTTGGTGTCTTTTCTTTACTGTTGCCTCAATTGAGGCTAGTGTCTATTTTATTGACCATGCTAAGAGATATGAATTGTCCTAGAATTGTCTTTTCTAGCACTCTGGTTCACTTCTTGATTCAGTGCAGTGTATGTTGAACACAGCTTCACCTTCTGTCGTCCATCTTTGCATTGAGTCATCTTCTCTTCCAGCATCCTCCTATCCTCGATTAGCTTCCAGGTAGTTGTCCGTTGACAGCCATTCCTTGTGTTGCCTCTTCTTTCTTCATAGAACAGTTGTACACGCTTCCTTGAACATCACCTGCAGAAAGTTAGTTCCAGTGTTGTTCCATGCAGGTTTCCTCACTGATGCCACGTAGTGTCTCCGATTTAATCTGTAGTGAAGGTATCCCGTGTAGTTGTATCCTTCACTTTCTGAATGTTCTAAATTACTTACTTACTCTTGGTGTTGTCAACTTTGAGTACATGTCTGTCATTAATCTAGTCCTTATTTTTGCTTCTACAATTTCTTTGAACCTCCTCACTAGTTTATTAGGACTATTATTAAGAACCAAACCTTCTCTTATATGTCTTACTTCTTACCATAGATTTTCTTTGGTACTATTTAATACTTTTTTGCTCCATCAACCCTACTTTTACTGACATGGAGTGGGATGATCGGAAATCCAAACATCAGTTTGAATTTAAACACTAGTGTTAAACTTCCCACCTTCTTTCCTTTTTATGCTACAATCTAACATTGGAAGTTCCTCATCTTAACTTTCCAATTCATGAGTGAATTGTATTGAATCCGCCTTTGAGTTGATGTATTCCAAACATCTATTTATATCCTGTGTTTTAATTACAGTAAATGTTCCACGCACATACCTCCAACATACTTTGGGGGGGGGGGGGCTGAACTTTTCAATTATTAGTTTTTACCACCTATCCATAAACATATTTACCACTAATGGAAATATCCGTGCCATCATGAAAACTCTTGAAATTGTTTGTATATTTTTCCTTGAAACTTAAGTCCTATACAAGTCATACATAGTTGCCTTCTTAGTGTGATGTCTTCTGGTGGTAATGTTGTAACAGCAGAAGACAAGACACGGAAGTCGAGGTATATTTTTCATTAATCAAACTGCTGTTTATATATATATATATATATATATAGTTTATATTCGTCAACCAATCACTGAGCGTGTGATTTCGGTTTACGCAGTAAGCATCAACTTTCTTTGTAAAACAGTCACTTTTAAAAATATTCATATCACTGACATTTGGACTGCATTATTTATTTATTATTTTTTCCTTTAGTTCCTAGAGAATCATAGGGCTTCAGCCACACATCTCCATTGCGTTCGGTTCTCCGTCAGCGTTCTCATCTGGCTTTACGGCTGCCCACAAGCTTTCATCTCCTCTTCACATGACCTTCTCCATTTCATGTCACCCTCTCACTGACGACTGGCTCGCCGCTTCCCATTAGGAGAATAATAGATAATGTAAAAGTGTATTCAATTCATGCACATGATAACATTCTAACAAGTTATTCATTTATTTTACTATGAAAACATCTCAATTCCCATCTGATTGTATTTTATTGATAACACTAATATTATTATTTCCGAAAGTACTTTATCTTATACTGAGTTTATTCAAATATCTAATCATCAATTTTTACTCATGTATATAAATAAAGCGAGAAAAAAGGGGAGTAGGACCTTGATATGATTATGAGTGCTCAAAGTGTGGTCATCAGTAAATATTACTTAACAACACTGTGTGATTTTATCAAAATAAAATCTTATCTATAATGGAGTTACGGCTCAAAATTGTTCTTAATGGCGCAGATGTATTCATTCTTTCACATCACCCAGATCCATTAAATACTCATGTTTTTTCATGTTACTATTCTTTCTCCCGTACATTTCTACTCATCATACATCGTTTGAGTCTCCTTCCACCCACCACTCCCCCATACCTCTTTTCTCTACCTTTTTATGGCAACTTGAACTGCTGCAACTCTTGTGTAAAGTTTTATATTGAAACTCAATAATCAGTGAAAAAGTCAAATCACAAGTGGCTTTTAATCCACCTTCAATGAATGCATAACGAATGATCGCACTAAAGTTTCATGAAATAGAGACAGATAACAGGAAGTTCGAGACCTACGTTTTGAGCTTATTAGTACTCATCAACACGTTGTATTTGTAACACCGAGATAAGCCATGTTCAGTTAAAAATCTCAACCAGTGTTACCACAGAGCTAATCAGAATACCGTTTCATGTCTCTTAGTTGCGTAACTACAGTGGTCAGAACTCGCATAAAGACTGCCTAAACTAACCGTTTAGATGACAGCGTTTGAATACACTCGGACAAGATGCACTCTTCTGCCTCCTTTGAGTTTCTCCTGGAACATAGTGCTCCAAACTTTCCACCTTCAGTAGAGGTGGTGTCATTGTGTTTTTTACGCGGTACCATTGGTAGTCTCTTACTCAACCACCTCCCCTCTTTTCCGACCTATCTACCAACCAGTAAACTGGGAGTGATTTAGGAGTACTTCGGTAGGGAATTGAACGTCGTTGGAAACCATCCCAATATTGATGTCATTTCACATCGATAACTTTGTCCTTATAAATAATTAACACTTAATTAACATTTCTTGTTTCAAAAATCTATTGAACTAAGTTGAAGGCGATTTCAGTAGTATACTCAGTATTCATAAAAGAAAGTACTGTAAACACCAAAAAACAAAACTGAAACACTTATTGTATGAATGTATATTATTAACATTATTAATTTTTTAAAAATAAATATTATTTCTCAAGTAATACTTTATACACAGCAACAAAATGATTGAAACCAGACCGGATATTTAATCGTACATGACGTAGGTGGGGGTCATTTATGGGTAGCTCTGTGATTTGTAAATGTCCATCTGAATAAGGCAAAGACAATTCGGATTTTAATTCAAAGTTTTCTGCTTCTGTATGCGAACTAGTTTCAATCTACAGTTCAAAGAAATTTGAAAAAAAAACGAACGTTTACATGTGGGTTGGTAAAATTTAGGTAAACTGACTGTAGAATCACAAAATTCCACAAAAAATAACAACATAAATTTACAGTTTTCAAGCATTAATTTGTACGGATTGGATTACGCATTCATATCAGTTAGAGAACCACTGAAAACGAGGAAGCACTGGAGAGCTATTTAGTCCTAGTTTGAAACTCTTTGGCACTATACTCATCAATCACTAGAGGTCGAACCTAGAACCTTCAAGAAAGAAGGTGCGCCCGCTAGCCATTCAGCCAAGGGGATTAAATCCAGTGGCCCGAGAATTTTAACTTTTGTCAGTTTGCGATTTCTAATTGATGCAAGAGTAAACAATAGACACCAAAGTCAAATGACCTTGAATAGACCAGTCAGACAGCTCAGAACTACAAATGGTTACTAGTTATAAACCTCGTTGAAAATGTCTCCTTGATCTGGTTTTTGACTTCTCTGTGGAAAATGTGTTGATAGGGTGGAATAAAACGTGCACACGTGGAGGGATAATGACTCTGAAATAGTATTGCCGGGCTATTGATGGTTATACTTTCCCATGCAACCACTTTATGTGAGGAAGTCTGTATAAATTGGTAAGTCGAACATAATTGGTGATTTTTTAGGCACTTTCTTCTCGAAATCAAAGTACTCACTTAGTAATAAATTGCGTATATGAAACCAGTATCTGCTACAGTTGGAGAAATAGAGGATACATTCATTTGATATTTCAATAACCAATTCTATGAGAATCTGAGACCAGTTTTTGCAGCATATTAGAGATATATACCCAATATGATTCATTTTTATTACATATATATCGTAGATAGATTTCTTTGTAAATTAAGTACCACTTTCCACCTAGAAGAACCTGATTGGCTGTTTCAAGGTTGTCTCAAGTTGGTGTCTTTTCTTTACTGTTGCCTCAATTGAGGCTAGTGTCTATTTTATTGACCATGCTAAGAGATATGATGATTAAATAATTACATTTCAATTAAGCTCTATTTTAGCCCAAATATCAAATGAACTGCATGTACATTTTTCTCATTCCTTAGCGCTCTGTGTTTAACACAGAATATCAAGCCTGAACTTTTGGATTTTCAGTAGCGGTGGTGTGCATTTTACGGTATGGAGTACTGTTATAACTCCGTTGCCAATTTGTTATAGCTGAACTGAATAAACCCTATCGCTACTTCGTTATGTTTTTAATAATAATAATCTACTTTATTCCAAAAGCAGTACTTATAATACAGAATGGAATCCTCAGCATTTGTCACAATATTGCATCTGATTTACTCAAAATATAAATACAATTAAAAATTAAAACAAAAGTGACCAGAGGAATTTGTCCACCTTTATGGTATAAAGTCAAAAATATTCGAAGCACGAATTGAGAATATTACATATAATAATAACAGTGAGTTTGTTTCAGACAGTATCATCGATTCAGTTTGGAAGTTTTAGCATGTTATAGATTATTGAATCTAATGTTCTATTGATATAGTATATTGAGGGGAAATAACAAAATTAACAATTATAACACAGCTTAAATAATGTTCACACTTATGAAAAAAATAAACAAAAACAAAAGATTGAGATGATTATGAATATAAGAAATACAATAACAATAAAGTTTTATGCTTTAGGGGGTGGAGGAAATGGTTTATTTAGTAGTGCAAAGAAGGTTAGTTAGTTCATGCCTGACACTACTTTCATCACATAAAATACGTGCCAAATATGGTATAGTGGAATTTTTATACTTAGATGTGAGAGTATGAAGTATTTTGAAATGACTTCTTGTTTTACCTGAGGAGACACAAGGTTGTAGCTGCGGGTAGAGTGGGTGCTCAGAGTCTGACAAAATTCCTTTAGCAAATTTGTTGCATGACATCAAGTGCCTATCAGTGACAATGTCAACGATATGACCCAATGGGATACCACTCGTTCTACTGACAGTCTTTAGAGTTCTACGAAGTATGACATAGTCTTTTGCGCCTGATAATTACTATAACGGTAATGAACTCGACTGGTACGCCAATACGTCTATTTGTCGCTTGTACCTTCCGATTTACTGAGCCACACAAATATCAAGAGATAAAGGCTGGCCTGTGACTGTAAGATATTCTACTATACATCTATTAGGAAACAAAACATCATATTGATATTTTTAATTTATCACAATACAGTTGACTCACAACCGTGAGAATGGACTGTTCTTATTGACTGAAAATGTCTATTTTGATTAGTTGGTGATCTGACAAAGACCAAAGTGAGACAAAAGAGACGATGAATTGATCACACACACTAAATCACAATATGTGTGACAAGATAAATCATACGATCCGTGAGAAAGGATGATATACTATTTTATGTTGAGTTCTGTCAGCCGATGAACGACTCTTTATGTACTACTGATAAATCTTATCAGTAGGCCACGCTACACGTCT